TGATGTAAAGTCATGACTTGGTTACTGACTTTAATACTTAATATGATTACATGACTAGTAGCTACCAAGCTTGGCGGGCGTCCTGTCTGCTCTTGTTTACCTTTCTCTCTCTCTCTGGCGTCTCAGCCGCCGCACATAGAAAACGGATGGTACCATTTTCAGTGAACATGACAAAATAAACCTACAAAACTATGTTCAAGTTATTACTTACCTTGCTGTTGAATGCTGTAGGCGTATGGAAGATGGTGAGGAGGTGGGAGGAAGAGAGGAGTTACTGTTTGGAAGGGAGTCCCCTTCCATTATCACATCAGGCAGTGAGGACTTCACTGGTATGCACACTCTGGCACATTTTGCCTGCATACCACTAGGACTTGCTTGTTTTACTAAGAATTTATCTAATGACACTTGTTTTTCCCTACATTTTAACACTTGTCTGTAGTAAGACATCACATTATTATTTAAAAGGTCAATGCAACGGCCTGCTACAGCTTTATCTGGGTGAGTTTTTTCAACAAAACTTTGCAGTTCTTCCCATACTTCACACATTTTCTTAATCAAGAAGGGACATCCTCTACTGCCTCTACTCACAGCTATTTTCTTAAGTTGAACCTTACCAATGGCTTTCTTGAGACCCATGGCAAGATATATAATGACAACTTTTATGCTCAAATGGCAAAAAAATGATAAAAAACTGTAAATCCTTGTGAAGAATTCAGATGGGATAGTCACTGGACACGAGACACTGGTAAACTGAGGCGCGATCGCCATGCCACCACGCGCCAGTCGGCCTGTACACGTATCAACAAACTCGCGTTCTGAGGTAACCCTCGCCTTCCGAGACATATTTTCCGAGGAAATCCTGCTCGTCTTCCGAAAAACTCGCATACAGGGACACTCGCATTCCGAGGTACCACTGTATATAATGATTTAGATTCAGGTTTGAGTAGCAACATTTGCAAATTTGCCGATGATACGAAAATCAGTAAGGAAATTAATTCGGAGGAGGACTCACTATCACTTCAAGTTGATCTAGATAGGGTTTTGAAATGGTCGAAGGATTGGCAGATGCAGTTTAATGCTGATAAATGTAAAGTTCTGAGGTTAGGTAATGATGATAAGGTTACAAGATACGAGCTAGATGGTGTTGAGATTTTGATGAGATGAGCAGCCATTTTGGTGAGGGCGGTGGCGTCGTCTGCACGACGCCACCGCCCTCACCAAAATGGCTGCTCCAAACCCTCTCTTGCTGTTTATACCCTCTATACACACGTTATATATAAGTATCTACATTTGTGTTCACCATAGCGAACCACTAAGCTGGTATGCTAAGTGCAGTCAATAAAAGGTGGCCACACACAGTCAAAAGACATCGCCACCACCCTCCTCCCACAGCATTACTCCTCCCTCCATGGCGCACAGCGCTAAATATCACCACAATCCTGCTATTATCAGAACCCTGGTCAGTTTATCACAGTCAGGGGTCTTCTGTAATATTATCATCGCTACATAATAGCATGAACAAGTATAATTTGGGATTTTTAGGCGATGCTGTGGTCACAAGCTGAACAGCAGTGCTGTTAGCTCATGCTGCGTGCGTCAGGCTTGGTTGCTCACTCAATACTGAGGCCAATAACACCCGGAAGTTTGGCCCACGATTTTTTTTTAAAATGGCGTCTGTTTACAAGAGCCCTGATGAAGGTGTGGTGAACCCCGTGTATCTGCGGGCTGTTAAATCTTGCGTAGTACTCCAACACATCATATGACGTGATGCGCAGTTGACTGGAACAACGTCCAGCACGTCATATGACGTGATGCGCACTTTAAGGGTTAATCTGTTCCCCCTATCTCTGGCACAAAACGTTCTGTCTAAATACCTCACCTGGGAATCTCCCACAACCAAAATTCGCTTCGTTTCTCTAACATACTCCTGTTGCTGTTATTACACTATATACATACACACACTGTATATGTGTACATGTGTGTTCCCCATAGCGAACCACGAAGCTAGTATGGTGAGCAAAACAAGAGTGGCTGCCACACAGTGAGGGTACCTCAATTCTCTCCCTCACCAAAATTCCTCCTTCCACAATACTACGCTCAACGTTAATTATAATCACAATCCTGATCACTAATTCTGTAAATGAATAATTGACCACAAGTTTATTTTGAAAAGGAACCTAAAAAGTCGTTTGAAGATTCCTAGATGGACGAAATAATGCTGTGGTGCTGTGGCTAGCGCTGTGAACATCATGAATAGCATTGAATCACTGATATTTGAACATTGTACCCAGTCATTATCACACTCAGGCTCTTCTATAATACTACCATGGCTAAATAATATCATGGCTGGTCACACGCTGAACAGCAGTGCTGTTCGCTCATGTTGCGAGCGCCAGCCTTGGTTGCTCACTTACTACTGAGGCTCCTACACCTGGGAATGTGGACCACGATTTTTTTTAAAGATGGCGTCTGTTTACAAGAGCCCTGAGGAAGCTGGTGTGAACCCCATGTAGCCGCAGGAGTTTTGAATGGAACGTGAAAAATACAAATACCCGGAGGCGTGTTGCGCACCTGAAGCCTGCGCCTGCAGGCGCGTTGCACAGTTAAAGGGTTAAAATTCGCTATGATTTTCTGGTCCATAGGCGGAATTAGAGGAGTGGTGTTAGGAGGAAGGAACTTTACTGTGAGAAATTTACTGTATCTGTGCATCAATTCATCTTCCAAGCCTGGAGGATGAGCAGGAGCATTGTCGAGGAGAAGCAGGGCCTTGAGTGGCAAATGTTTCTCGTGCAGATATTTTTCTATGGCAGGGCACACCACTTCATTCACCCACTCCGAAAAAAAAAAATCGTAGTCATCCATGCCCTTTTATTAGCCTTCCACATCACACACATTTGGTTTTTTCTGCACTTTATACTGTTTGAAAACCCTTGGATTTTCAGAATGATACACAAACAAGGTTTAATTTTTAAATTGCCACTCTCATTTGAACACAGCACAAGCGTAAACCTATCTTTCATAGGCTTGTGTCCGGACAATGATTTTTCCTCCTTAGTAATGTATGTCCTCTTAGGCAATCTTTTCCAGAACAGTCCTGTTTCATCACAATTAAAAACTTGTTGCGGTAGGTATCCCTCAGCCTCTGCAAACTCTTTAAATTCCTCAATAAATCTTTCAGCTCCTGGTTTGTCTGAGCTGGCAGCCTCCCCATGCCTCACAACACTATGAATACCACTTCTTTTTCTAAATTTTTCAAACCATCTCCTGCTTGCCTTAAAGTCTATCGTATCTGCACTCATTCCAGGGGTTTTCTTTACAAGGTCTTCGTGCAGTACCCTGGCCTTCTCACAAATGATGGCCTCTGAAACACTATCACCGCTAACTCCTTGTTGTGTATCCAAATTAATAACAACTTTTCCACTTTTTCAAGTATTTGTGGTCATTGTTTTATGATTGTTCTTACGCCTTTTGCTACTTTAGCACTCATAATGTCCTTTTTCTTGCTAAGTATAGTGCATATCGTTGACATGGCTTTGTTGTACTGCCTACAAAGTTCAACAACATGTGTACCATTTTCATGCTTCCAAATGATCTCTTGTTTTTCCTCTATTGTCATCCTCACATTCACTTTCTTGCCTTGGTCAAATGACCAAAAATCCAACAAAACACTGAAAATCCTGGTGAAGAATTGAGGCGGGATAGTCACTAGGTGCGAGGCACTGGTAAACTGAGGGGCGATCGCCGTACCACCACACGTTAGGTCGGTCTGTATGCGTATCAACACCCTCGCCTTCCAAGGCAAATTTTCTTAGGAAATCCTGCTCGTATTCCGAAAAACTCATATACAGGGACACTCATATTCCGAGGTACCACTGTACTGCCCTTGGGGCTTTGGGCCTCCTTCCACAAGTCACCTCTGGATCTACCCCCGCTGTGCCGATTTCTGCTCGGTTTTTGGCCACCCTTGGAGTCAGCTGGGGTGGGATTTTTTCTTGCTCCTGTTTGTTTCTGGTAGGGGGGTAGTTTTTGTCATTGGCAGGGGCATGGGGTACTGCACAGCTAGTTTTCACCTATAACAGCGGCTGGCTCTGTTCCGACTGGGTATGTTGTCCTCTTGCGGGGTTTTTCTTTTGTTTTTGTTTTGTTTTGCCTGGTGGGGGAGGGTCTGCCGTTGTGGTCTCCCATTGCTGTTTTTGGGGTATATATATTTGTCACTCTGTTGGTGGTCCTTACTGCTTGGCCCCCGTGAGTGGACACATTCCAGGGGTTCAGCTTCTAGAAGTTTGATTGGTAGACTTG